GCTTTTCGATAGGCCTATGCACCATCTTCATTAGAAAGGGCTGCAGAGGCCTATCTTTGGGCGTTAAAAGAAGAGTTTCGTCCCCGATATAGTTTCAAGGGTACGCACCTAGTCGCTGCGAGCCTAAGATCAAAGGCAGTTCCAAAAACAAGTTCCCCATTTCCAGCTTGAGAAAGGGTAGTGGTAGGGAAGTCTCAGTCCCAATTCGTTCTCGAGAGTCCCTGAAGCAAGGAAGCGTCTCTTTCCATAGCCCCTAATGGGGTTGGTTTTGACCCGTAAAGCTAGGCTCGATGTAATTGAGGCGAGTAGGGCTTTAGCAGCTTTTTAGATGTTATAGATAGCGGTTGAAGTTGAAACGGAAAGAAAAGTATGTACGAGCGGAAGTTTTCATGCCAGCAAGTGCCTTTGTTTCGGGAAAGGCCAATACCCTTCTCGTAGTGTATAGTGGGGAATCCAGTTGAAGCTATACCGTAGTGGAGGTAGAGTTTAGTAGGCCTAGTTCCCTCCTCTCTGGGCATCTAGACGGAGAAAGAAGGGACGAGTGTATCCGGGCCATGATCCGATCCATATTTTATCTGTATATTCCGGCAGAGCATATCGATATCGGGGTCTAGGTCTAACCATCTCAACTCCCCGTTTCTGGCATGCTATAGTTATTTAAGTCTCTCGACGGCGGGAATGGGAGATTACCGGTAAGCCAGATGCTTCGCGAACCATATTCTTAAGGCATTTCGTCGGGTTAGCTCCTTTTCCTTGAGTCCAATGAGGATAAAGATTGAGTAGTCTTAGCCTCTATCTCCCCAACAGCTTCCTCCTATCTACGCCCGTTTTTTCGAATTCGTATCCGTTGGCTAAGTACTTAGAAGCTTGGCCACCAGTAGCCTCGGACCTTCATCCTTCGACCCTCAAGACCTCTTATAGCGCTCTTGCCTTCCAGCCCATGAGCGTTGAAAGTCTTCAATTAGACTAGAGCGTTAGATTCTTTTTTTTTTTTTTAGTTCCACTGATAAAGTCGAGTCTTATAAAAGAGGCCACTCTACGAGGGAAGTCCCCGGGTCGAGTCTTTGCGAGTTCATCCCAAACAAAGCGAAGCCCTTCCGGTCGGGAAGATGCAGATAAAACGCCAATAGCCGGATGTCCGCTTCTACGGCATAAGCTTTAAAGAAAAGAGCGATCAACGCTAATCAAAATTGAATAATCAAAGAAAATTAGGTATAGGTTTGAACAGTTTTTTCAATCTTTTTCTTCCTATTCTAAGATAGCTTTCAACTGAGTGGCTACCCTTTTTGTCAGATACGGGTCAATTGTCCAGTACCTTTTGTTTAGAGTCTTTCTACTTTCTGTCAGCTATAACCAAGTTGCTATTTCGGGGTTAAGGAAATGAATTGTAAGTCGCGTAATCCCCCTTCCTCCCTTGCAGTCAAAACTCTCCTCTAATAGCAGAAAGCTTCCATGCCCTATTCTCTATTTTGGAAAAGGACCTCTTACGGCAGTTGACAGTGGAAACTTTCCAGCTAGCGATTGATCCAGTTACCGGTAAAGGACAGTTGACAGAAAGGTTCTTTAGGACCGACTACAACAAGCTCACGACTCTAATAGAAAGAAAGGGTAAGCTCACGACTCTAATAGATTCGGCAAGAATCCTTCTCACTACCGTAAATCAAATAGACTAACAAGGAGTTTCCTCCTTGTTATCCAGGCCTTCTAGAAGCTTCGCCAGAAGCGACTAGTCGCTTCCCGAATGCCCCTTTCCTTCGCTACTAGGAGAGTCGCTAGCTTGCTTCATTATATTCTATAAGCGGAGCGACTTGTCGAGTCTACGAAGCTTCGTAGTTGCTTCCCCCCCCCCCTTTTTTCTTTTGCCCCGCCATGCCACTAGATCCATAATGACCGGCGAGTCGGAACATGTATGAATATAACCACGCGGAGCGCCGTACCGGCCTATCGAACGAAGCGAAGAAAGAGATCATTGAGCCTATTTAGCCGAGCGGAACCCTTTTCAAATAATATATATATATATAAAATAATAAGCTAAGGGGGCTGGGAATCGCAAGAATTGAAAAGTCCTCCATTGAATGGGATGAGAAAGACAGGTTCGGAAATGGCCGGATTAGCAGGAGGAAGGGCGGCCCCACCCTGAAACAAAGGTGTACGTACATAAATAAAGAGACTGGTTATGGCCTTGATAGGGCTCCTTCCCGAAATCTATTTCAGTAGAGCGTATGATGTCGATGGCCCGAGGTAGAGCACTCAATGGGCTAGGGTGGCCCCATTTCGCCTTACCAACCCCAAGGAAACTCCGAATACAGGCCTAGATCGTTTGTACAGACAGACTTTTTGGGTGCTAAGATCCAAAGTCGAGAGGGAAACAGCCCAGATCGTACGCTAAGGTCCCTAAGCAATCACTTAGTGGAAAAGGAAGTGATCGAGCGATGACAACCAGGAGGTGGGCTTGGAAGCAGCCATCCTTTGAAGAAAGCGTAATAGCTCACTGGTCTAGCTCCATGGCACCGAAAATGTATCAGGGCTCAAGTGATTCACCGAAGCGACGAGACCTTGAAAGCAGCTTTTTCAAGTGTCAGTAGCGGAACGTTCTGTCAATCGGGGAAGGTTTTTGGTGACAAGACCTGGAGATATCAGAAGTGAGAATGCTGACATGAGTAACGATAAATCCTGTGAAAAACACGATCGGCCGTTTTAAGCCAACTAATCGGCCAAGAGCGTTTCTTTTGAATTGGCACTGGACTGACATCTGGAAAGCTTATGACATGGTGAGATGGTGCTCTAAAGTTGAGCAACAGCAACTTTCCTTCTAAGTTGATTGTATCTTCACATGCCTGATAACTACAAAGAAAGAAAGTACTCTAACTAATGGTCTTCTTGAGAGGGTTGGATGGCCATAGAGGCAAAAGGCAAGGATTCCATTCGTCTTTTTTTGTCCTAGTCATGGAGGTTCTGGCTTTCTTTCTTAGTTTGACTAGCCATTGATTGACGGAATTTCTAAATCAAGAATTTAGAACGTTCTTAGGATTGTTAACTTATACTCAGACGCCTTGATCTAGTTGAATTAGTGGACGACTCAGAAAGCGGAGTCATAAAGGGATTGTTTGATCGACTACTTGATAGTGCACTGAAGGATTATCCATCACATGCCAGCAGATGTGGTCACCATCATAGGTACTCAAGATATTGTGTCTGGAGAGGTGGATAGATAGGACTAAGGGAATAATCTTGTTTGGTTCGGTAATGGAATCAATAGCTTGCCCGAACAGGACCCTAGCTTTATTGCGAGCCAAAAATATTGATAAATTTCCCTTCCATAGGGATCGTTGTGGCATGAACTCATTTCTGCCTTTCCTCACCCCCGCCCTACCTTGTAACGGAGACTAATGGGTTGAAGGCGGTGAGGCTTTGGGGCCACCCCTTACTCTACCATTATTATAGGGGTATGGGGTTCGAGACAAAGAAAGATCAAGGCAGCATATCAGCTTTTCCTTTATACTTTACTTGGATCTGTTTTTATGCTATTAGCTATTCTGTTGATTCTTTTCCAAACAGGAACCACCGATTTACAAATTTTATTAACCACAGAATTTAGTGAGCGGCGCCAAATCTTTCTATGGATTGCTTTTTTCGCCTCTTTCGCCGTCAAAGTGCCTATGGTACCAGTTCATATTTGGTTACCCGAAGCTCCCGCAGCTGACTACTTATTGAAATGAAAGACCGAACATTTAAGGCTAACTCTTTCTCGTCTTCAAAAAAGTATCAAAATGCAGTTATATAAGCTATCACTTTTGCAATTCAAGATCAGCTCATCGAAGGGAAAAGTGAGAGTATCAAAATGCAGTTATATGAGCATCGACTTGATAATTTGCCTAGTGAGAAAGCCAGGAAAAGACCCAACAGGCATACAAACTCACTCTCCCGGGGCAGCAGAGGAAGGCAAGATTTCTTAGGAGTTTCAAATCTCGAAAAAAGGCTTTCTTTTAGGCGCTTCCTCTCCTTTCAGTCGAGCTAGGCTGAAGACTTTCTCTTTCTAGCCAAGCAAGCTTCATGCTGAAACTATCTTCCTTCTTTGTCTTTGTGCGAGACTGGGGGAGGTTGTAAGGTAGCAGGAATAGATCTACTATGCCTTGAGTCGGGTTTTCACTCCTCTCCCCTCACTACTCTCTTTGGTTCTGCCTTGTTGAGGCCAGTAGAGGTAGAATTTTCACAGCTAACTCTTCCCGGTCTCTACGATTGCTTGACTTAAACAAGTGACCTCCTTTCTTTCATCAGGTATGGTCCCAGACAAGCGTTCTTTCTCTCCTCCCCTCAGCCATAGAGTCATCTTTCCCCCCTTTTTTTTTCTTTCTTTTTTTTTTTAGGCATTGAACCCCACCGCTCCGTGGGGTGCTGAGTGGTGTCCTCCCCTCCCTAATACCTAATACATAGTTCCGTCTATGGAGCCTAAAGCTTCAACCATGGCATAGCAGTAAGCAGTAAGTTGGCCTAGTCTCTCGCCCAGCCTTCGCCTTCTTCAGTGGCTTGGCTTTTCGGGCTGAAGGAAGAATCCTAGGGTGGAACCAGAAATCAACGGATAGAACCGATTCAACAGGGACTGAAGCTGACAAGCGATAGCCAAGTTAGGTGTAGGAAGGAAGATAAGCATCCAAATCCTCTTTTTATTCCTTAGCTTAGTCTGCTCTTAACACTTCTCGCCAAGTCCAATAAAATACAGACTCTCTATGACTCAAAACCCCCAACCTACATCGTACCAGATCAGACTAGTAACATCTCTTAGATGGCTGCCTTCTACTTACATTTACATAAGGACTCACCCTAGGAATGGATTTGATTCATACCCAGACTAGTCCTACCTCAGCTTCTAACTTAAGGAAGTAGCTAGCCGCTAGGTTGTGCCGAGTCAAATCTGCTCCGTTTTTTTTCCGTTGCAGAAAAAAGATCCCTTCCCCCCGCTTTCAAAAATGATGAATATGAAGTCCGGGAGGCTGCAGGTACTATGGATCCTCTGACTCCCAATCGGGTTGCCTTCCCAGGTCTCGCCGGTGTTGCCTGTAGGTCGTGATGTGCCTTGAGATGGCCGTCTCCTGCCCCCCCCCCCCCCCGCCGGTGGGGAATCCGCTCCCGGGTCGTCGCTCTGCTGCGTCTGGCCCGTCCTCTAGGCACCTTTGGAAGGCAGGGAGTGTGACAACGTACACGCTTCCCTTTACTCCATACCATAGGGCCTTTTCATCAGTTGCAGGGTTTGGTGGCCCGAAATTGACTTGGCTTCGCCAAAAGGCCTCATCTCTAAAAGCCCGGCTCGCGAGGCGTCCCTCTCGCAGTAGAGTTCCAAACCTCGCCTCGCTCTTGTGACATGCTATGTTTCCCCTCTCTATTCCCAAGTAAAGGGTGAGTCCCATGCGTCAGTTTGTGGATCGCGGTCAATAGTTCTTAACCAACCCTTTCTCTTAGAGCTTTATAAAGCTTGAAGAGAGAATAGGGAGTAAGGGGGACCTTCGCTTCATTAGAAATTGGACCCTTTCTATTAGTAAGGTTGTCGTATCGATCAAGGCTAAACTTGAGTTTGATTGCAGGGCGCGCGTTAGCGCTTTACTAATAAGATAGAAGGGGCTTTTCTTGTTTAGTAAAGTCTCGCTTTTTTATAGGAGTAGGTGCGGCAGGGCACTCTTCATTCGAAACTAATGAATGTCAGGTCGGGGCTTTCTGCCTTGTTATCAAAAAGGGGGTTGGGTAAAGCAAACTCCCTCCTTGGACGAGCACGCGCCGGACCGCCCCCGCCGACGAATAATAGGTACCACCACTCCAGGCAGAGTTAGTGAGCCGTGTAATAGGCGACCATTTCGCGCGGTTCGGGGGGTGGCATTCCCTTTTTCTTATCCGAATACCACTCTTGTGACAAAAAAGCGTGGTTCAAAAGAAAATATCCACATATAAATGTAGAGGCCTTTATTTTTTTGAAAATATTAAAAAATAAAAAATATTGAATTATTAGTTAAATTTTTCATTGAAAAACACAACACTGACTTCGGCCAGTTTCTTTCATCAATCTCCTGGCCCTTGCTTAACTCCTTGTTCCGTAAACCGGTCGCTGGTTGATCTGATCGGACCCCGGACACGCGAGAGCCCAGCCCGAGAGGAATGCATGGTTCCCCCTTCATGGGACGTTCGCAGTCCCCCTCCCTCTAATCTAAGCCTACCTCGCTCGCCCAGGCCTGCCGGCACAATAATGGAATGATGGAGCTAATCTGCTTGCTTGTGCAGGCGATGACCGCTCGGCTAGGGCGCGACAGAGGAGCTTCGAGTGACGGGCTGTCGAAGAGCAAAGAAAAAAGTCACTCGAAGCTCTGCCCTTTGCTTTGCCCCGTGCTGTCTTCCTCCAGTTGCCCCCACCCAAGAGGCCTGCAGTCAATTGCCCTTCTCGTTCTCATCAAACAAAAGACAATCGCCTTTTGCCGGCAAGCTAGCCTCGCCTACCTCATCTATAGGCATTTCTATCCGCCCGCGCGCGAGATCAGATCGACTACTCTACTACCATCATGCCGAATTTATTCAATAGGACGGAAAATGAATAGCTTATTCATAATCTTAGAGGCCCTGCACCGCTGCATTCAATTGCATTCAATTGCTCTGTCATAAAGAAAGGGAAGGAAATCTTTTTTTGATCAATCGCCTGAACCTGCCTTTCTTTCTTTGCCAGGAGGGGTGGGCCAATCACTAATCCTGAACTCAACTTGCCTCTCAGGGGGAATACCGGGTAATTCTTCCAGAAACACATCTGGGAACTCCCTAACTATAGGCACATCCGAAACTGAAACCTCCTTCCTGACGCGAGTGTCAACCACATACGTGAGATAGCCCAAACACCCATGTTGCAGGTACTATCGAGCCCTGTTAGGAGAACAAAAGGTTGATCCAACCCTGGTACCCTCTCCATATATAATCAATTCTCCCCCACTTGGGGTTCGAACTACCACCCACTGACCCTCACAATCAATTATCGCACCAAACTTGTTCAACCAGTCCATCCCTATAATCACGCACACATCCCCCATGGGGATAGGGATCAGGTCAATCGTGTAAGACACCCTGAAAATCTTTAAAACACAACCTTGATAAATACTCGATGCCGAAACCCCATGTTCGTTGGCAATAGAAACCCACAACGAACACTCCAACTCTCTAAGAATCATATCAAACCTCCTACTGAAAGACTGAGAGACAAAAGACCGACTCGAACCCAAATCAAAAAGCACAAGAGCAGGCAAGGAGTTCACTAAGAAGGTACCTAGCAGAAATATAAACATAAGCATACCATAAAATAATCTGACAGAATAATAAATGATAAGATACCAGTAACGGCGTCTGGCGCCACCCTGGCCTCCTCTGCTGTGAGCTGGAATGTACGACCTCGAGCCCTCGGGGGCTTCGCCCTGCCCTGGAGTCCGTCTGTAATCCTCAAGGTAGAAGTAGTTGGTGCATACACATTTCTGGCAGCAAGAAAGGGACATTGGGCCTTCACATGGCCCACCTGCTCACAATGGAAACAAATCCTATAAATTGGCAGCGGAGCCTGCTGGGGACAGTCCTTCGCATAATGCCCCTCCTTTCCACATTTGTGGTATCCAGAAGAAGATCAGCAAACACCTTCATGAACCTTGCCGCAATTGCCACAAGTATGACCCCTCTGTTCTCCAGATCGTGAATTAACGGGCTTAAATTGCTTTGTTGCAGGCTGGGACGGAACCAGAGCCTAACATTGCGCCCTCGCCTGGCTCTCTATCTCAACCTCTCGCATCCTCGTGGCATCCTGAAATTCAGCAAGGGTACCATACCGCTGGGTAGAGACAAATTGTTGAATATTCTTCTTGAGCATGCTCAAGTACCGAGTCCTCTAGGCCTGCTCTGTAGCAGCAAACTCAGGGCAGAAAAGAGCCCTCTCTATGAACATCTTGGCCATCTCCATCACCGTCTCAGCCGTCTGTCTCAAGTCCAAATACTCCTGAACCAAGCTCTCCCTCTCCACCAAGGGAACATACCTCGTGTGAAACATCTCCGAGAACTAATCTCAGGTCACAACAGTCCTCTGCTCAGGAGTGTAGGAACCGGTCACCAGGTTCCACCAATCCTTCGCGCCCAGTCGAAGGAGGTTCAGGGCGCACCTGACCTTCTAGTCCTCTGGACAGGAACAGGTGAAGAAACATCCCTCCACATCTGATACCATCTCATAGCAATGATCGGGTCCTTGACCCCGTTGAACTCTGGGGGCTTTGTGTTGCTGAAGTCCTAATCCTGGATTGATCCTCTTCCTCGACCTCCTGCAGCAGCGACGGCTGCGGTGGCTGCAGCAGTAGCAGTCTCAATGAGGTCAGCATAGTGATCATTAAACAACTCAATCATAGTGGTCTTGATAGACCCAAATAACTCCAGAATAAAACCCCTGATAGCAGTAGCCACCACAGTGGCGATCAGCTCGTGAATCTGATTATCAGTCAACCCTGTCCTATCCTGGCCATCCGTTCCAGATCCAGAACCAGATCCTCTCGTGAACAGCATACTGAGAATGAACCAATAAATGTATCATAAAATTCCACCATTCATACTATACAATCATCACAGAGATGCTAAACCATCGGGTTCTGTGACTTCCTTGTTACACGTATGGTTCCTGTGCTTTCAGTAGTATGGGCCCATAGTACCTTTTATACCTACCCGTATCTGTCTCAATGGATCATCACAAACTAACCAAAAACAACCCCATAACTAGGATACGCATACATCCTATACTCACTCTCGAGATAGTGGTTAATCATTCCTCGTCTGGTTGGCTGCTCACATACTCACTCATGAAACTTCCACTAACCATGTAGTCACTCGTACATGATAATCATATATAACGCTAGATTCCATAGACAGTCAAATACTTGACTCTACCCTAATCCTACAACCATACAAGGAACAAGAAATAAGGCTAAACCAAACATTCTCAGGCTATAGAATCTTAGTTATGTACAACCATGATCCACACACTAAGCAACTACAGTAATGATGTCAATTTCATATATCACACAGAAAGTTCTCCTAGAATATCAGGCATCATACATCAGGCAATTCCTGAAGATCCCTATCCTATCACTAGCATGCAGTTCTATCATAGAAATCATAAACAGATAACAGTTTGGGTATCTTGGGGTACACTTTCTTGCTCCGGCTGATCGTGCATTTTTCTTCCTTACTTGGTTACTTTTGAAATCAATTTTGAAAACCATTTTGAAAACAATTTGAAAACTTTTGCAGATCCTTAGTTTGAGTCTGGATTCACACGAATGCTCATCCAATTCTCTCAAACCAGGGCTCTGATACCAACTTGTAATCCCAAAAATCAAGGAAAATTTTTCTTTTTTTTAAATCCAACCACAAATCATAATTGTTTACAAAATGTTGTCCCCAAATGCAATAATCACGAATCAGAGTATCCTAAAATAGAGTATCATAAAATTAGACGGATGTGCACGATCACACCTTTCCTTTTCCCTGATCATCTGAAGTACCTGAAACATAAAAGTTAAACCGTAATCCAAATCTTAGTAAGTTCCCCCAATTACCACACAACATAACATATACAAAACACATACGTGGTCCACAACCTCCTGGTTGGATTACCCCTGGCCCACAACCTTCTGGTTGGATTGCCCTGGCCCACAACCTTTCGGTTGGATTGCCTAATACATACTGGGTCCACAACCTCCCGGTTGTATTACCCCTGGCCCACAACTTTTCGGTTGGATTGACCGGGTTTGTTGAATGGAAACACAAAGCAGTACAGTCTCAACTCAACCCCACTATGTCGACATATATAATTGATAAAACACATAACACCATCCAGATAATCATGTAGATCTTAACATATCACTATAGCATAGCAATATTCCAAACCAAAAAACACAATTTACTCGGCCAACATTAGTTCCTTCGACCCATAAGTATGGTGAGGAAAACTCACCTCACAGTTTGAAGAGATAGCAGAACAGAACACTTCTCCAACTGTCAACTCTATGGGTCACATATATAGAAAACAGTGACCTACACTCAATTCACAGCTCAAAGTACCCAAAATACCCCTAGGTCAAACTTGGTCAAAATCCTAGTCAAGGTCAAAGGCCAAAAAGTCAACCGAGCCAACTCAGGCTAAGTACACCCGACATACTCAGCTACTACGCCCGACGTAGTATGCTTCTTGAACAGTTTTCAGGGGCTTTACCACGTACACGCATCATTTCATCAGGTACCCCCAGCGTACACGTTAGCCAACTTTCCTAACAAAAATTGCTTAATCCATGAAGACACTTCGTCCAAAACCCAGATCTAGCTCCAAATAATATCCTAAGTCATAAAGTTTCTA